TAAAGGCTTAGGTTTGGGATTCTGTGGGATGATATAAAGGAATAGAAGAAATGCTCGAATGAATCTCATCCCAAACATAATTTTCTGTTTAAAATAGGCTGTAAGGGTGTATGCATAAGCGACAACTTGGCATTCACTACCCGCGCCGCTCATTCTGCCTCACAAAACAACTGGAAAAGTATTACTGTCGTTTCAGTGGGTTTACAAATGCAATTCGAATTTTAAGTTTGGGCTTTCGATGCTGATAATGTAGCACCTATATGGTAGGAACATCTCCCAATACTAACAAATTGTTTAACTACATTGTCAAGCTAAAACAGTTTGAATATCACTCAAGAGAATTTTGTGCTTCTAACTACTATTAGTGCACTAATCTCCTATATTCACAAAGCAGACCAAAAGGTTCTAAAACATCCACCTACGAATTGATTGTTAATTACTAGCACTTACTTTCGCAATTGCTTTTAAACCATGCAGCATCGCGCTCGATATTGTGAGGTCGACCAACGTATTCAATTCTGTCACAATCTCTTGAATTCTTCCAAAACTGCGACTGCTGCGTAGTATACCACGAACATCCTTTAGTGCTACATCTGGATTCAGTAGAGGTAAAGAATTAAGGATAAATCCAACTTGATCAATGAACTTACCAACTATTCTCAGGTCTTCTTCGATACTATCTGCGTAAAGATCAGAAGGAACCTGGAAAAATAATACGAACATTCTTTTGTAAACAGTATTGCACGATATTTTGTCATCAAAAAAAAATGTTGAATGTGACCCTCTTAACACAGAAATAGCCAGATGTTAAGTTGGATATCTACTAAATTTACCTTTGATCGCTAGTTATATATAAAACGTGAAATTAGATCGTAGCAAAATTAAAGGGCTCACTAATTCACTATAGGTTATTTCACATGGCAAACTTAGCTGCCCTTGACTTCAGACATTTCAGGCTAACGCATTTCTGTATTTTCAAAGCGATATATAACAATGGTAACGTACTCTCTGCTTTTTAAAGCGTGACGTTATTTCCTTCTTATTATTGTAATTTGGACGAGGATACTTGTTACAACTCATTTGCTTTGCAACGACTAATTCATTGCACCTGCCCAAGCTAAGTCAATT